GTGTGTGTGTGTGTGTGTGTGTGTGTGTGTGTGTATGTGTATATAAATATATATACATATATCCATATGCACATATATACATGTATGTATTTATACACACATACATATATGTGTAGACACACATATACACATATAGTATAACCATGCAAAACTTATTTAATCTCTCTAGGGCTCAGGTAACTCTCTAAAACTATAAGGGATCTGAATCATACCTACATGAAATCAAGGTTTTTTTTTTAATGTATTGATATAACGTTCCTATGAGAGGTTGACCAGAGCCCTTAAGCATGGGATGTGCCTTTATTTATTTATTTATTTATTTATTTATTTTTGGTGCTTTAGAAACAGTATTATAAATTAGTTTTCTTGGTCAGAAATTAAAAGCTTTACATTTATTTTTCTTCCTCTCTAAAGAAATAACTTGACCATTTTTGACATGATCACCGTGGAAGGATTTGGAGCAAGAGAGTTACTGAAAGTTGGTGGAAGGCTTCCTGGTACCGGAGGATCCCTTAGGTTTAAGGTGCCTGAATCCACTCTCATGGACTGCCGACGGCGTGAGTATTGAGAATTCCTTCTCCGGAATGGGAACTGTTTGGTGCTTAAATCAAGAAGTCTCCTTCAGTCTTGCTACTAATAGTTAAATTAAGAATGGTCATAAACAGGTATAATCTGGTCTCCTTCTTTTGTCACCAGAAAATACTTGCAATAATCACAATTATGTCTGGCTCATAGTAGGTTTAGATGTCAAAGCAAACATTTCCAGGGTGGTATTTACAGTATCATGGAGAAAGAGGAAATTAATTTGACTTTACCAATTACTTGCTTATGGGAAATGAGGTTAAAAGATGACACAGAAAACCCAACGTGCATTTAAAAGTCTTTTTGGTAGGGGAGTGAGTATAGCCAACCATTTAGATGGGCCTGTAGTAACATATGATTATGGACCTAAAACTCTGTACTGAGATCTCATTTTTAGGTTAACATTTTAAATTGAATGGAAACGTGTATTTGTGGGAATTCCTTGAATGTACATACATGTTACATAACATGGGTTTAGCAGTAAGGGAGTACATTGGTGGAAAATTTGAAAATTTATAGGTGGATATCCTTTTTTTAAGATCTTTTTAAAAAATTCATATGCAACACTTAATTGTGCTCCATTTACCAACTCAGAAGATACTCATTGCTCATTTTTATTTAAATGAATTAATCATCATCAGTCTATTTGACTCTCATAATGGGTTAATTTCATAAATTGTGACTTCTTCCTCAGATCCTATGCCAATAAGCTATTAGACATACTCTCCCAGACAAGAGGCAAACTAGCTGAGTTTGGGGCCAGACCTCATTAGTGATGACTTCCCCTCCTAATCTAGCCAATTGGATCCAGCTCCCCAGTTTATTATATTGCCTTCAGAGACATCCAGAATAGCCAGTGTCCTGGCTCTCTCACGGTACAGAGAACAGGTACTGACTGATCCTGGGTGCCAGACTCGAATGGGCTAGTTCTGGCAGTATAAGAGTGATTTATAGGAGCAGACAGGAGGGAGATAATTCATTGTTACAGGCACAGAGATCGATGGTTTGCACAGCCTTTCAAATATTCCCAGAAAAGAACCTACCAGATTAATGATAACTAGCTCTGTTCCCCCAGCCCCCAGATATACAATATTAGTGGAACTAAGCTACGAGGCCCAGTTTAAACCTTAGCCATTATTGATCTTGTTATAGATTCCTGGCCTAATTAAGATGGAGATTAGAGCCACTATCCAATATGTAGTAGATAGTTTTGGACTTGTGTTCAGGAAGACCTGTGTTCAAACCAGCACTTAATGTAGTGGTTGACAACATAAGTGCTTTTGAAGCACACTTCAGATGCTTAGTGACCAGGCAAGTTATTTAACCTTCTCTATCCCAATATTTAAAAATCTGTGTATATTATGTTAAAATATTCTGATGTAAGGAATTAAAAAATCTCTGATGGCCTGTTGCTTTATCATAGCTTATTGCTCAGATCTGTAAAATGTGAAGATATTCGTCTCAGTGACTGCTAAGGTCCCTTCCCATTTTGAATCTATGACCCTATAAATTTTTCCACTGTGAGATTTTTGCCGGCTCTTTTGCGTCTGACTCTTACCTGTGTGTTCACATATTCTCTGTTTTAACTTGTTTTTTCTCAGCTACTTCCCTGGATGGCCCTTACATAAGAGGAGGATTTCCATTAGACACACCCTGGCCTGACTCATCTTTTTACCTGTGTTTGTGGGGAGCACCAAGGGCAGCATGTTAGTGAAATAGCACAGACAGAATAACTGTGATGGTGATGATGATGATGATATCATTCGCTTTACATGGTGCTTCACTTAGGCAATTTTATTTGATTCTGACAGCCACTTGATAAAGTAGGGCATTCAGATGCCCCCCTTTTTCCAGAAGAGGAAGCAGAAGCCATAGAGAGGTTAACTGTCTTAGCTGAGGACACATAGGTAGTAAGGGGCAAAACTGGTATGGGACCTATGATAATAAATTGACTTTATTCTCTGAGGTGGATTGTGGGCTTTGACATTTCTAAAAATATTTTACAATGACTTTCCACCTTTGGTTTTGCCAGGATATCTGGCTGCTTTGTCTTTGGCTGCTTTTCTGAATCATTCTCCATCTCCTTCCTCTTTAGTGTGGTGGTTCTCCCCTGGGCTCCTTTCTCTGTATTTTCCTTTTCTCTCCCTTCTTGAGCTCATTAGCCCCACCATCCTCTCTCTTATTCACAAATCATCCAGTCCTGGAATTCCAGTGTCTCTGCTGTTCCCTGGGCATCTTGTCTTGTACGGCCCCTTCACCATCTCAGACTCAGGATGCCTAACATGGTATGGTCTTCCCACCTAAACCCACCCATCCTTTCGAGTTCCTGTTCCTCATACGTGCGCTCCCATCATCCCAGGCCTATACCCTTAAATCATCCTTGGCTCTTTCCTACTCCCCATCCCACCCCTACTGTCAGCATTGTGTAAGCTTGGGAGGGCTTAGCAGTATTTTACTCGATGTGAACTGTGAACCTTACCTCTTATATTTAAATAGTTAGAAGGGAAAACCCCGAGTAGCAGTAGATTTTGAAATCTCTGTGTATTGTGTCAAAATATTTGTATCCAATCATTTGCCAAATCTTGTTGATTCCATCACCAACACATCTCATCTCTTACCTTTCTTTCTACTCACACAACTCCACCCTGGTTCAGACCCGTTTATCATCTCTTACTTGGACTATTTCAGTAGGCTTCTAATTAATCTCCCCAGTTCTACTTTTTCTGATTAGGTAGCAATCAGACTATCCTACTGCCCTGTTTACAACCAACATTGGCTTCCTATTGCCCCTAGGATAAAATACAAACTTCTCAGCCTGTCCAATTTAATTAATTCAGTAATTATTGTTAAGCATCTAGTATGTACCAGCCACTGTGCTAAGTTTTGGAGATGCAAAAAGCAGCAGAAGATAGACCCTGCCCTCAAGGAGCTTGCAATCTAATGGGGGAGACAACATGAAAACAAATATATACAAAGTAAGCTATATGCAGGATAAATAGCAAATAGTTAATAGCTAGAGGACCCTAGAATTAAGAAGTGTGAGGGAAGGCTTCCTGTTCCTACCTTTCCAACCTTATTTTACATAACTTCCAGTTACATGTTCCATATTGTAGACCAAATTAGTTAACCTGCTATCCCCTAAGCTCTAGACTATTCCCCATTCCTGGAATATATTCATGTTTTGATCTCTGTCCCTCAGAGTCTTTATTTTCCTTAAAAGCTCAGTTCAAGTGCTACCACCTCCATCTATTGAGGCTTCATCGATCCCCTCCCTACCTTCTCCACTCCCACTTCCTCTGGGTTTTGGTGTTCTGTTTTCCCTCAGATTGTCTTATATTTACTAATTTGTGTGTATTTCACCCATCACTATCTTGCACGTAGTAAAGCCAGATTGTGAAGAACCTCAAATGTATGATTCCTTGAGATAAATAGGACATTGGGTCATTGTGATGGTTGTAGAAATTAAGCTGGAGCCATACTTTGTCAGGTTCATGCTGATTGATTTTGATTTTGTAATCAGTCATGTTTAATAACTCCCATTGATGTAAAACTGTTTTCAAAATACTTAGCAATTACTTCCTTACCAGATGTTAACTTTTGTCTTCCCTAGAATTGAAGGACAGCAAGCAAATCTTATCTATTACCAAAAACTTCAAGGTTGAGAATGTCGGTCTTCTTACCACAACGGTTTCCTCAATGAAGATCAATGGGTATAATTGCCAAGGCTATGGATTTGAAGTGCTTGGCTGCCGAGAGTTTTCTCTGGATCCAAACTCATCCCGGGAGATCAGCATTGTGTAAGCTTGGGAACTTAGCAGTATTTCACTTTATGTGAACTGTGAACTTTGCCTCTTACATTTAAATAGTAGGGGAGGAGAACCCCAGTAGCAGTGTATTTTGAAATCTCTTTATATTGTAGCAAAATATTTAGATCAAGGAATTCAATTTTTTTTTAATCATAGCATATTACTGTGTAGTGTTTTGGGCAAGATATATGTGACCAGGTATGATGGGTTTGAACAAGTTAGAAAAAAGTCAGATACTTTTTTTTTTCCTTTGTGTCACATTGAAACCTGGCCTTTTGGCTTATAGATCTCTTCATTTGTTTTCTCCCCCTTATTTATAGTTCTTTGCTGCTTGAGGGAGGCTCTGGTTTGCTGTTTATATTCCACATTCTCGTAACACCTGTAAATAAGAAAGCCAACCCATTTCCCTTGATAGTAGTTGTGAATGGGCATTTTTAAAAATCTCAACAATTTGCTCAGTGGTAATCACTATTTGGACAAACTCTAAATATGTAATTTTTTTTTTTTAGTTTAAAAAAATTGTAGGCAGGAGAATTCTTTTTGTTGAGTAGAAATTCAGCAAATGGCTGCTGACCAATTATATGAAAGTATGGCATGTCATTTTGAAGTGGGCTTTATGGGACTAGTGCTTTTTTGTTTTTGTTTTTGTTTTTTTAATCTGGCCACTTTGGGCCACCTCTGTGTTTCTTGATTTCTTCATCCCTAAAATTAGAGGGTAGGTGGGGGAGAGAAGGAAATCAGCTATCAGTTCAGAGAAAAAAGTGCTAATCCAGATTCCTTTTTTGTTTTAGTGGCATATCCATTATAGAATCCCCTTGTAATTAAGACCCTTTATAATTAAATCATATCCTGAATTATCTAAATTTTCAGCCACAGGTCTCAGTCAGTAGCTTGTTTTTGCCCATACTTACTTGAAGGTTTTAGGCTGCATCAAGCTGATCCTAAGCAAAATTGTGAAGTTTGGGGGTTTTGGGGTGGTTTTTATTGGGGGTGGGGGCAGGTAGTAACAATAGTTGAAGTTTGTGTGTGTGCATGTGCATGTATATTACTTTGAAGATTTACTTATATCATTCATTGGAAATTTCATGTATCCCTATGAAAGTAGAGTTACTCTGTGATTTATTGTCTCTGCTACATAGATGAAGAAACTGAGTCTTAGGAGAGGTTGAATCGTTTTTTCCCGATCACACAGATAGTCAGTGCCTATGGTTGTACTGAAGTGCAAATCTTAACTGACAGCAAGGTCAACATTTTTTCCATTTTACTACATTTTCCCATAGCACCTCTTCTTCCTCTTAATGTACCTGTTTCTGGCCCTCATTTAGAATATGGGTTTAGGATTCTAGAATCCGGAATTGGAAGAGATCTCAGAAGCCGTGTAGTCTGATCTCTTCATTTTGCAAATGAGGAAATTGGACCAATTTAGTGTTTTGCAGATTTGGTCACAATCAAGTATTTCCTCAGCTGGGCATTTACATTTTTTGCATTTTTTTTCACTGATTGGGAAAGTCTTCCTTCCCTTATTAAAGGGATTTCAGATGTCGTTAACTAGGGCAAAGGTTTCCCTGCAGTTACGATTCTAAGATTACAGATTTGGAGTTTGGAGGGAGCTTAGAGATCATTTAATACAACCTCCTCATTATATAGGAGAGGAAACTGGGGCCGAGAAAGGTTAAGTGATTCAATCAGGCGCATGGATTAAAAATCTTCCCCCAGTATGTCACCTGAAGCCTGACATTGCCTTTAGAGTGACAGAGAGGAGGAAGGAACACTAGGAGGTATACTCTTTTCTCAAAACAGCCTTCTCTTCCTCTGAGAAGGGTAGACTGAAGGCTCACTTAGCTGAAACTGTTGGAACTGCTCCAGGTATTGCTGGAGAGTGGTGGCCTGGAGGTAACTAGCCTCTTTAAGGATTTGGAGCCTCCTATGCATACCATCTTCCCTGCCTGAGCATGTGTCATACTCGTGCTTCTACTTTCCTAGGCCCTTCCTCTCTCCCACAAATCCTAGGTACATACATTTCTAGTAAATCTGATGTCTTATTATTAGTGATTTTTCATATAACAAATATATTCCTTTACTTTTTTAAAACTGTGATTCATCTTTACATCTCCCAAGCTGTGTTTTTTTTTCTTTTCTTTTTACCACTGACAGTGATATTTCTGATAGAGAAATTTCATTTTGGGATGGGGAGAGGCGTATCTTCTTATGTAATGGTGCAGACTGCTAGCTGAAAGTGTAGCGGTGATGGTGGTAGCAGGAAGGGCTGGAATGTCTGCTTCATGAAGTCTAGCCTCAAAAATAAAGGGAATTGAGACTAGCTCCCAACATAGTTGGCTCATAAAATTGGGAGGGTGTATTATTTCTAGGGGATACATGGTTAAGCTGAATTAAATCCCAAGAAAAAATGAATTAGATTGGCAAACTATTTAAAGTTCTAGAGAACTACGTTATTGTGGCTTTCTTCAGTAGTCTTAGGTCATAGGTCTTTAGCCTTTTTTGTGTCATGACCCCCTTTGGAATTCTGATGAAGCCTGTGGATCCCTTCTCAAAATACTATTTTTAAATGCATAAAATGAAATAAAAAGAATCACAAAGGAAATCAATGATATTGAAATGAAATTATCAAAGTATTAGAAAAACAGTTCATAGACCCCAAATTAGAGATCCCTCTCCTAGATGAAGACATAGAAGAGCCCTCAGGACTCTACAGTGAGTGGGAGATAATGATTGGTTTCTTGACAGGTTCACTCCTGACTTCACTTCTTCATGGGTTATTCGGGAGCTGACTCTTGTTACCGCCGCAGACCTAGAATTCCATTTTACGCTCAATGTCACCCTTCCTCATCACTTGTTACCCTTGTGTGCTGATGTCGTGCCGGGGCCCAGTTGGGAAGAGTCTTTCTGGAAACTCACAGTTCTCTTTGTCAGGTAAACCGCTGGCTTCCCATGTCCATGAACTTCCTCTGAACCCCCTTCTTAGGGAGTAGAAATTGTCAGGTGAGTACCTGCAGAGTGCATGAACATATGGTGTCCTAGTATAATGAGTAATCAGAGCCTGTATAATTGACAGTTTTGTATGGCTTTGAGCCTGCTACCATACCAGTGGGTAAACTAGCAATTTTAAAATGGCAATAACCTCTAATTGTCAGTTTTCTTTTTTTTATGAGGACTTAGCACAATAATAAGGGCTTAGTGGACCATGTTCATTGGTGATGAGCCAATCTAATAGAACTAAACATTATATTACCTGAGTCCATTAGGAATCTAATTCTTATTTAATCGAATTATCTGTTTGCTGTCTTCATTCTCCTTGTCCTATCGCAGTGTCTCACACTTTTAACCATTCTTCCCTTTTAACTACTAAATTTCCTTTAATTCAATAATTATCAAGCACTTATTATGTGTAGGGCACAGGACTTGCAAAAAATAGTAATCTCTACTATAACACAGTCCTAAAGTGAGGACCTCCATTGAGGGGTAAACTCACAGTCTCCCAGGGCATCCCTTTCCCATTTTGGATTGCTCTGTTAGGAAGTTTTTCCTTATGTCAAGCCTAAATTTTCTTCTTTGAAACTCCTAATGACTGTTTTTAGTTCTTCCTTCTGGGGCCAATCAGAACCTTCCCTTGAGCTTACGTTCCATTATTATTAGGGATGTACCATTAGCCTCTCTTGACTTCTGTGGCAATGTGTTTTCCTGGTTTTATTTCTATTTCTGAGTCTCTTTCACTGGCTCCCTTTCCTAATCTTTTAACGTAGTGCATATCTTGTTCCTTCTTTCTCCATAGACCCTTCTTTGGTAGTTTCATCTACTCGTCTGAGTTCAGCTATTGTCTCTAATGTGTTTGCCCCAAAATATATCTGTAACTCTCCTCTCTCTCTCCTTAACTGCAGACTTGCTTTTCCAACTTCTCGTTGTATAGCTCTATCTCAGTGTTTCAGCAGCATATCTTCTGACCCAACATATCTGAAACATAAAAGCCAAGTCTTCCTTCTGATTTCCCTGTCACCCTCCATGATCAAAAATCTGGTATTCTCTTTGACTTTTTCCTTTTATTTCTACATTCTGGATTACTTTCACGTATAAACATAGGATCATAAATTTAGATTTGGAAGGGACCATAGAGGTCATTAAGCCTGTCCTTTCTTTTCTACTGCCACTATTTTGGTATAGGTTGTTGTTATTACTGACTTGGTCTACTTCAGTAGTCTATTTGCTGGTCTACCTATTTATCTTTCCCCCATTCAACCCATTTTTAAATGTTTGCCAGATTAATATTATGCACAAATCTAGTTGTTACTTTTCTGCTTAAAATCCTTCAATTAACTCCCTGTTGCCGACCAAATAAAACCCAATGTCCTTAGTTTGACATCTTAACAAAAATGTTCTATTATGATCTTGAAAAATAGCAACAAATTTGATCATTTCCTTATTCAGACCATTTTTTTTTTCAGTATGATAGTTGATAGGCTATATTGTTTTTCTTCCTTCCCTTTCTTTCTGAGTACTGCCTGTTCATTTTCTTTTATCATTTTTTTATTAGCAATTAGCAGTGGCTCTTATTTTTATATATTTGAATCAATTCCTTTTCTAACTTGGATATGACCTGAAATTTGCTGCAAAGTTTTTTTTCTCAGTTAAAAGCTTTTCCTCTTAATTTGTACTGCATTGGTTTATCTTAGCTTGATATCGAAGGTCCTCTTAGTGCATCTCTACCTCTTCCACTTTAGCTCATGTTTTTGCTCTCTACATGGCTTATACTCCAACTAAAATGGAACAGTTGTCATTTTTTTAAGTCTCCAGGGCTCAGTACCCCTTGTCTTTGCTTTATGTTGTTCCTCTGTAATTGAACTACCCTTGTCTTCCTTTCTGCCTTTTGAAAGGCCTACCCCTCCTTCAGAAGCCCAGCCCCACTGCCATTTCCAGGGTCTGTTCCCCAAGTTCTTCCTTGTCTCCTCCTACATTGGAAATGATCTTTTCTTCCTCTGCTCTCACATCTTACCTTGAAGCTCTTATACAAAGAAGAGGGAGGGTGATGATGACTTCATTTTCTCACCTTTTCCTGATGTTCCTCTCTAAACTTAGCGTGGCTAGTCTTCAGACAATCCCACACCCATGCAATGAGTAAGCCTTTCACCTTGGCTTAGTATCCGCATTACTGGTATTACTTTCTAGAATCAGATTTACCTCCACCCTCCAGTGAGGAAAGGGACTTCAGCAGAGTCTCCTTCCGAGGGTAGCCTGCTTAATAGTTACTCTGTGATTACTATACGGCATCACATATTTGTGGGTGTTCATGTCTTATTTGTTGGTTCTGTGTGTTTTAATTAATTTTTGTATCTCTTCCAGACCATAGCACAACACCTAGTTCCTACCAAATGAATAAGCCTAAAGGTTTTGATTTTGTAATATGTGTTTTTTTCCAGAGAAATAACACTTGTATTTTATATTGATTTTTATTTTTTAGAAACTTGAGCAAATATTTTGGAATATGTTTTAGAATGGTCAATTGCTTGGGTTGTTGTAGAAGTTTCACTTAAAGTATCTTGAGATTTAGGCCAGTGTTTAAATATTGCTCCCCATCATGAAGGAGACTTTGTTTTTGTTGTCTTACGGCTGTGTAATTATAAAGCTTATTGCTTTCTTCCTCAGCTTGTCCCTGTTGGGTGTGATCTTAATAGCCTTCCACCAGGCACAGTACATCCTAATGGAGTTCATGAAGTCCAGACAGAGACACAATCCTATTTCGTCTTCACAACAGAATAGCAGTCCAGTTGATGTAATCAGCCCTGAATCGTACAAGTAAGAATGCTTGTGGTTGCATGTATTTTTTTTTCCCATCCCAGAGATTATTCTCTGCGGTATGTACACAAAGCTTTGCATTTTGAGGTTAGTATAAACTTTTATGTTGGCAAACTTCACTGGCTGACACGTTAGTGGTTGGGTTCATTCCTTTGTAATCAGGTGTCTACTAATGGAAAGGTTCCATTTTTATTTGTTTTTCTCTTGGCAGAAAAGAGCAGTAGTTTGTGGCAAATGGGTATTTAGAAGTGGATAAAGCAGAAATCCTTTAGGATTTAGATATTATTATTTAGATATTAGGAGGCAGTCGTGGATTTAGATCCATTAGGTTGAATTCCCAAACTTTTATTGAACTATGTGACCTTGGACAAGTCACTACCTTCTTGATATTTCCATTTCCTCATCTGGAAAATAGGGATAATAATATCTATTACCTTACTGAGTAGCTGCAGGGCTCTGCTTTGCAAGCTGAAGTACCCTGTTCTTATTACTTAAATTATGCCAATGTCACACATTACAGATTTCCAGATAAAAAGCCACGCTATTACAAAATTTGGTTCTGGGGGTTTTTTTTGAAGCAACATGTTTTTCCTTTTCAATTTAGAAGCAGTTGCAAGACGTTCCTGGATTCCTACAACCCTTCTGATAAAGGCAGAGGGAAGGGCTTCCTTTCAGTCAGTGCTCCCCCAAACAGGATCCAAAATGCCACCAAGAGAAGTCCCGCCACATATACCCACCCTCAGAAGAAGCATAAGTGTTCTGTGTACTATAGCAAACAGAAAGCCAGCCCGGTGGGGGCCTCTAGTGCCAGTGCGAATCCTGACGACAAGCAGAGCCTGATTCCTGGAAGCTTGGCGTCTGCCCCAAAGGAGGACTCCTGTGCTGAAGCTGTCAGTGAGAGCTGGATTAATCTAAAATATGCCAATGGCCTAAATGTGAACCTGCAAAAGAATTTAACCCTCCCAGGAAACTTTCTGAATAAAGAGGAAAATGCCCTGAAAAATAACCTAATTGTGAAAAACCCTTCTTCAGAATGTGATATGAAGGAGGAAGTACAAAGATGTATGTTTCCTAAGGAAACTGAACTTAAAACTTCAGAGACTGTATCTGAGCTCAAGGAAAGGGAGCTCTGTCCTCTGAAGACCTCAAAGAAGCTACCTGAAAATCACTTCCCTAAAAGCTCACCTCACCACCAGTCAGACTTGCAAGAAATTTCCAGGAAAAATCATGGTAATCTTTCCATTCTTGTGGTAACGAGCTTCCTATTATATCTGTCCCAGATCTGTTTGTAATGAGAGTCTGTTTATGTGTGTTTCTTTTGGTTTGGGTTATGGCACTGGATTTTCCAAAAAAAAAAAAATTTTACACAGAAAGTTGTAGCCAAGATATGACTGTTTAGAGCAAGTTTCCTAAGATGGAAAATTTGAAGCAACATATACTAAGAAAAAGTAATTTCTGCTGGCTATCGTAGACGTGAAATCTTTATTTGTTTGACATTTGGTAGGGATATGTGATTAATAATGTGACTTTTTTTTTCATAGAGGGGAAGTGGCCACTCCTTTTTCTTTTAAATTATCTCTTGGTTCAGGTTTGCAAATAGATTTTTTTAAATAAGGAAATTCGGAAAATTTTCTTGTTCACTAAAATGATACAGTACCACCACCATGTCCCTACTGTCTATGTGTCTTCTGTTCTCAATGTCACTTAATAAAATACCAGTATCAGATGTTTTTAGAATCCCCCCATAGACAGATTCCTTTGAAAACAAACAGACTTGTAATACCAAGACAGACTATCTTTTTAAAAAAAATCTCTACTCTAATTTCCATTTGGCCCTGAATTGATTTCTTTCAGGTCTCAGATACAACAGTCAGTATATACTTTGAGCTCTTTCGAAATGAAAATATTTCTTTGTACGTTTAAGTCCAATTTCTAGCAGCTTTACAAAGGAGAAAAAAAAAATCAACCTGTGGATTTTTTTATATAGTGAGTCAGTATATTACCCATTGAAAATAAAGTTTTATAGTTTTCTTCTGTGATTTGGAAAGAGGTGCAAACATATAGTGGATAAAAACAATTGAGATTGGGTGATTTTCTTAGAGTGAAAGCCCGGATCTCTGATAGGGATTTCAAATGTCCTTTAATAGGGCGTGTTAATACTAGTGTGTCTAAGAGGGAAACTCTTAGGATGCTGAGACCTCCGTTTGGTCAGTGCATGTGTATTCCCAGCTGTGAGTGCACCACTGATGCCCTTAGTTCCAACCTGTTTGCACTGTTTCCCTTGGCAGCAGTGGGCATGCTTGAAGTGGATTCATATCTGCAATGTTGACACTGTACACTTGTGTCTTCTCCACCGGTCTGTGTAAGTATGCCCTCTGGAATTATGCTTTTTTATTTTATTATATTTATTTTCCCCCCAAATCCTAAAATGAAATCAGGTTACCTTGCCTATGGACTTTGGGGGTGGGGGAGAAGGCCGTGTTTCTGTTTTTGTTTTTATTGTTTCAGGCAGGAACAATCAGATAGGGACATAGACTACAGAAGGGGCCTTGGACAAAAGGCTCTGAAAATCTTTTACTGTTGATTAAATAAAATGATTTGCAAGCCATTAGCAATGAAAATGGTGAATGAGGAGCCAGCCATTGGTTCGCTTAGAACGAATCAGGCCAAACTAATATTGTTTCTTATTTGGGGGGGGTAGGAGTGTTGTTAGACTGTGGTAGCATTTCTCTGATCTATAAACCTGATGTATTCTGAATTTTAGCAACTCCAACGAGTCTCTCTTGAAATTCTTGTGAATAATGTGGAGATGTGTTTAATGGCTGGAAGCATACGGATTTTTAGTGGGTTGAATCTTTAATTGTGCTTAGAGAGTTTTATTTAATTGATTTCTGTAAACCCGGAGAGAGAACTTGAGTTGTCTTCTTTCAATCCTTTGATCAATGACTCAGGCCTTCTGATATGATTTGTAGAATACAACACTGGGAGGGATGGGGGAAGGATGTTTCAACATATGTTCCTGTGAAAAAGACTTAGGTATCTTAGTTGACTGCAAGCTCAAGTGTAACCTGAATGCCAGAAAAGGTAGTTGGAATGGAATAATCATTTATTAAGCACCTACTGTGTGCAGGCACTGTGGGCTAAGTGCTTTGCGAATATTATTTCATCTCAATTGACTTTAATAGATGCATAGTGATCAGAATGAAGGAGGGGATAGTCCCACTGTCCTGTGTCGTCCTCAGTCTCTGCTTGGTGTCTGTTGTCACTTCTGTCACATTCCTTTTAAAGAGATGTTCACAAACTAGTGTCTGCAAAGTATGTCAGGTTAGAGACTGTTCAAAGAACTGAAGATGAGAGAGTGGGGGATGGGCAACTTGAAAGCTGTCCTCAAGTATTTAATGAGCTGTTAGGTAGAAAAGGGGGTTAGAGTGAAAAACTAAGTAAGAACAGTAGAAAGAAATGTACCAGGAGGCACACATAGTTTAGTAAAGGAAAGAACTTTGCAGTAGTTAAAACTGTCCAGAAATGAACTTCAGTGGGGAATGACGTCCCCATCACTGGCAGTGCTAAAGGAGAGAATAGTCGGGGTCCTCAGAGAGGGCATTTCTGTATCAGGTAGGATGTTACACTGTGAGCCCCCTGAGGTCTCTTCATGCCAACATTCCAAAGAAAATGGTTTCTCCTCCTTGACCCAGCAGCCCATGTGTATAGGAAGTAGTATTTGAGGCTAGATATCTTTAGGGAATGCTTAATACCTGACAAACTTGGAAGAGGACCTCAATTATGATATCATGAGGGGGAAAAAGCTGGCTTTCCTGATGCCTTATGTCTTTATATATGTCTATATCTTTTTATGGTGCCTTGTATCTGCTAATTGTTAGAAAAAAATACTTATATATAAATGTGTATATATGTGTGTATATGTGTATATAATACACACTGCATATTAGAATACAGTGTATAATATATATTAGATTATATAATTCAGATATATGCATTTATCTAGCTATCCATCCATCAGTCCATTTATCTATCTGTCCATCTATCTATTCATCCATCCATCCATCCATCCATCCATCCATCTATGTGGTCCAAACCTGTAATTTTATTCGTGTGGAGAACTCCCAATGTAGAAGCCCCCCTCACTCATGCATTAGCAACTCATCGATAATTTGGAGAGTTGCCTAGAGCACTGAAAGCTTGAGTGTCTTGCTGGTGGTCAGCAGAGCTTAATGTATGTCAGAGGCAGGCCTTGAAGGCTAGTCTTCTTAACTCTGAGGCAGCTCTTGGTTTACTGTACCACGCTGCCCGTCTGACTTCAAATGTAAAAGGGAGATTAATTAACCATGGCATTGTGTGTCTTTAGAATATGGTCTTCTGTCAAGGTAACATGTTACTTTGAAGGCTTGGTTAATATATGGGAGCATAGAGTTTGGCTGGTGGGGTCAGAAAATCTGCATGGCCCTGCCAAGATCCTGCGTTTGATGGCGTGTCCAATACCTGATGCTTAATGCCAGGGTCTGAGTCAAGCTTGCTGCGTGATTCAGCTAAGCAGCTGTGAAGTAATTAGAGGTGGAAATCTAATAATATGGTTTTGGTCTGCATCATTATTGTTTTGTTTCTAAGGCAGATTATTTGTATGTTTTTTGTTAAATTTTTAGTGGGATTGACTCTTTCATTATTAAGAATGTCCTCTGCACCCTTGTTCTCTTCTCTCCTCCCTCGCTCTTTTCTCTCTCTTCTTTCCCTTTTTTATTCCTCTCCCTCTCCTCTTTCCCTTTCTCCTCCTCCCTTTCCCTCTTCTCCCTCTCCCTTCTTTTTCCCCTCTCCTTCTCCCTTTTTCCTCCCTTTCGCTTTCCTCTCATTAGAATCATCATAAGGGATATTGGATTGATTTTTAAAAGAGCAGAGAAATTGATCAAAGGGTCTTGGCTTTGCCCTCTTCATACATGTTAAAATCAAAGATATCAATTTATAGTCTGTTGCAGTTTTCATACACTGCATGTCTGCAACAGATTTATCCTAGGTTGGTTCATTTTTTCAGTACCAATTAAAAGCCCTACTAAGCACATGACACTGTACTAGAGAAATGCAAAAGAAATAAGAAAAATTTTTTTTTTCTTTCAAGGGTCTTACAGTCTACTTAGGGACACCCAGTCAAATATAAAAAGGAGAGAGACAGAGAGAGCAAGGGAAAGGGGGACAGAGGAGGGTAGTGGGGGAGAGATCTTTAATAACACGAGTACAAACAAGAATCAGTGAGTATTAGTTTCTTTTTATGAAAATAACCACAACTTCCTTCATGGATTCCAAAGCTCTCCTAGTTGGAAAGGTCTCCAGAGATCAAGTTCAGTATTTGCCTGACCAGGAATGCCTTCCTTTCTTAACACCATTCCTGACATGTCATCTAACCTCTGCTTGAAAAATCTCCTACTGTGAGAAGCTACTCATTTTATACAACTCTAGTAGTTGTGAAAATTTTCCCAACCACCAGCTGCATTTCTGGATCAGAGGGTAACAATTTTGTCAGCAACTAGTGCTTTATCAATGGAACCTGGTCCAGTGGTGATATGGTTGTCACAGGTATCCTGATGATAACTTCCCTTCTTCTCTTTCTTCCCTTTTCCCTCCCTCTTTCCCCTGGTTCAGCTTGTTTTGCTCTGTATCACTTCATATAAATGTTCCAGTGTTTCTCTGAACTCTTTATATTCCTCATCTCACAGAGTAGAACTCTCTATTATTTGTGTACCACAATTTATTTAGCTATTCCCTCAGTCAGTGGGCACTAACTACCTTCAATATTTTTAATCTTTTTCAGCTAATCCATTGTTCCATTCCTTCATTTGAACTGACCTTCCCAACGTACCCAAATATACTATGAAAACAATAGAAAAAATAAAAAAGGAACATGGTGCTAGTTACCTCTGGGGAATGACATTATTGTCTTCCTTGACTAGTTAGAACCTCCTTTCCAAGCCTTGTGCCCTTAAGCATTTGGACTCTGTTTTTTTTTTCTTCACATAGCATAACTTTCTCGTTAAATGAGAAGAGAATTGTTCAGAATGTGTAGTGATGGCTCTGGTTCCATTCTTGTCGTTTGTTGCTGAGAAACACAGAACATTTTCTGAAGTCAATCGTAGTCTAAATCCTGACATCTCTCCTCCCTCTGAGATTGCTTCAGGCTCTCCAACCACAAGCTAGTGAATCATATATCAAAATTCACTCCAGCC